TAAGTTCTAGTATTTCGAACTTTATCAAAAAACATTTCATTATATCCACAATACAAACATTCATGATTGGAATACCAAAAAAAGAAAATTTGTGTATAAAAATGAGATAAATTAAAAACTGAAATCGATTTGAACGCTTGTTGAAAACTTACATCGTATCAGTACGTGAACAAAAGGCTTTTTAAATAAATCAGTAACATGTATGTTCGATTGCGTATATATTTATTTTGAGATCAATAATAAGAAGAAAAAAGAAGTTACTAGAAAACGATTCAAATGATCATTATCCGGTTAAGTATAATGAGTTATTTTGTTTCTAATATTGAAAATTTTTTGTATATTGAAGATAACAAATCCAAATGATCCAAGCAACAACATAATTAGTAAAATAAGTCAATTATTTGTCGACAAAAACAAAAAATAAAAATAGAAGTTAGAAATGAACTTAATAGAATTAAGGAATTCGAAAAAGAAGAAGCGATTCATGGTACATATGCTATTTAGTTCTCCTACATATTGCTGAAAGGTCATATTTTCATTCTTTGTAGAATGATGAGAACTCAAAGAATTAGAGCATGATTGAAAAGAACAATTGCAACAAGTTGAAGACGAAAAGAAGAAAAAAAGAAAGCGACTCAAGAAACTGCAGAAAAATGGTAGGAGTGTAGCTGAAGTGAAGACTCACAACTTTGGAAATGCATAAAACTTGTCAGCTAATTTTCGGTAGACTTTGACTGGCTGATTTAATTAGAGCAAATCGAATTCATTGAAGATCCAAAAAGATTGGTAGGATCCTATGAAAATCTAACTAGAATCCGACAGTCGAAATATCTGTCGGTTCTGACTCAATCTGATGTGGTTCCGTATTGGACTCATTCACCTGGAACTTATGTTTCCACAGTATTGAATGATTTACCGTCAAACAATTGCTGAAGTGATTGTTTGCTTTCGAACTGATGAAAATAAAATAAGTTTGATTCAATAACTCTGAAAATCATATATAAATAAAACTCTATAATATAGCTTTCATTAAAAATAACTTTTGTTTCGTTACGTTTTGTTTGATGCACAAATTTAGGAAATAGCTATGATTAAAAGAAAAAACTACAGCTCCTTTTTGTATAATGTCTGCTGACGAGCTGCACATATTTCTTTAGCGATTAGATGCGTTCGGAGAGTTTCCTCGAAAACTCAATTAAATGCTAGGGTATGAGATACAGAGATATAGGAGGTACAAAGGTGTATCAGACATAGTAAACAGTGATTTATTTTTTATGATTCATTTTTTCGAGCAAGGGTCAGTAAGTTGAAGGAATATATCTGAATGGATCGCTATTCAAAGTCAAATACTATATAAAGATTATCTGCACTAGTTAATGAATATCTCCAATATCTCTATATCTCCTCCGTCGACGTTTAATAGAGTTTCTGAGGAAACTCTCGGAAGACATCGTATATCTTTAATATGCTGCCTTAACTCTACTGATAAAAATATTCCATTGAGAGCGCTGACGGTCTTTATTTTTGTATTAATGATATACATCGATAATCTATAAATTAAAAGCAACAGTCACTATCTCAAAAAAAAACCTACATTTGATGAGTGGATTTCATGAAAGCTGTCATATTTTAATATGGTTTACACTATGCGATATTCTTATTCACGATTTAGTATTAAAAAATTTACTGTTTATTTATTTATGGAATCTTTTGAAACATGTATTACAACTTAGCAATAGCCTCTAGTACTTCTTTAGAAGTTATTATTGTTGCGAACTCTTCATTCAAAGTTGCTAATGTATTGAAATGCACCTCGTTTGCTCTGATAGTTTTGCCTTCAAAATGTCGATCGAACGTTGCTGTCGCATCTCGTACAAAAAGTACATTGAAACCAAGATTACTGGCCATTCTTGCTGTCGTCTCACAGCAATGATTAGTTGTAAAGCCTACAATAACTAATGTCGATGTGCCTTGTTCTCGAAGACGTCTCTCAAGATCTGTTCCAATGAATGCAGAATTGACCGACTTGTGTAAAAGTGGTTCATCATTCGTAGCTAGCGGCTTGACATAATCTTCATTTTCATTTCCGGCATTTGAAGGATGGAGAGGTGAAGTTGGAATTATTGAATCATGCTTGACGTGTATGATTGGTAAATGAGCTTTACGAAAACTTGTCAAGAGCATTGTAATATTTTGTTCCAAGTTTGGTGTACATCGATGACCACCCCAATATTGTTCATCACGAAAACCTTTTTGTACGTCGATAACAATAAGAGTTGTTGTCGCAGAAATATCAAATTTAGATGACATCTAAACGAAATAATAGTCATAAAAATTAGGGTAACAGATAATGAAACTTTAGAAAAACTATGATTTCGCTAACATCAATCTTTTTCTAATAACAAATAGTCTGAAAATTCTTATTTAATAAATAGATATTGCTGGAATCTGTATTATATGAAGATATACAAGACTTATCTCTCAATGAATATGATGGTTTATGAGCATTGTTTATCTTTCTTGGGCGTTTAGTTCTACAAATAGTAAAATATCAAATGTTCATAATTACTTTAACACTGAAAACAAAGAAGGAATTATATACAAATATTATAACATATTCTAACTCAATACAAAATAATCATCTGATTTTATAATTGTACTTGAGATTTGGGCAGAGATTAAAAATTGATAAAAACTTGATATGGCGTGTCATTAATATTTGTAGTCACGAAAAAAAACCTGTCGCTGAGATACATTGGCTACTTTTCATCTGACAAAAGTATACTCTCTCACGGTTAAAAAGGAAAAAAAATCATCTAAAGTTATTCTTCTCACTGAGGTTATTCACGACTACTGTTGTTTAAGTTGATAACCACGATAAAATAGAAATATGAAACTCATCACTCCTTTTCTTTTCTTATCTTGATAAATTTCAATAACCTCTCTTATTCATAAATATTTTTTTATAAAGTAACATTTGTTGATCATAGAAATGAATATGGGACAATTAGAAAAAATTATAGAAAATTGCTAATAAATACAAATAGCTTTGTTATAACTAAATAATTTCTAAGATAATATAATGTGAAAATAGAAATGGGAAACTTTTGTTAAAGTCTCAAAAAGACAAACGATTTATTTAGACAATGTTATTAATCAAATGATTCGCAGCTATCAAATACGTAGGCTGCTATTTTAAAAGTAATTTACAAAAAATAATCAAATATTTTTGATGTCACGAAAACTTTCTATCAATTTATCAATTGAAATTTTCAGTCAGAAATTTAAATCAAAAAATACTTCTCGTATGATTAACAACTTTGCTAATTATAATTAAATTAAGCTAGCGTGTGAAAAATAATAATGATCATAGATTTCGATTGATGATACTCATCTGATCTTAATCAAATTTAGCATATCGATTCAGTGGCTAAGTAATTGAATTTTTTATTTTAATTATCACATTATATTGCACAAAAGGTTAAAAGCGGTTGTAGTTGATAACATACATATTGAAAGTTTTCAATTATTTTTTTTTCTACATTATCATCTTTCATGGTGGACACTAATGGGGCTGAATAGAAGTTAAACTCACAGATTTTCATGTTATTATCTCCACGTTAATTGTGATGGAAAAGTAGAGCCAAGATAAAAAAAAAAAAACAAAGAAATATTTTATATATAGTATACGTCTACGTCATTTGATAACGCAATTAAACATAGCATCTCATGTAAAAAAAGTATCCTCAAGTTCATTATTAAGTACTCAAGTTTTCTTGAAATAGATGATTTTCTAAACTGATACTTTTTTAATTGTGTATTCACTTGAAAGCTTTGATAAAAAAAAAAAAACTTAGTTTCTATTACTATAAGTGTCTCGACTCTTATTCGTATCCACCTTTTTTTGTTTTTCGGAAAAAGTATTGGTAAAAATTTTGTTCTTGTCCATAATTTACTGATAAATAAGCTGAATATACAGTTCTACTTTACAAATAGCATATTATAAGTTGTCGATAGTTGTGAATATCATTTATTTTCTACTTGTTTGTTTATTTTATCACCAATGACTTACATATCTTTCAAAACACCCAATGGTAAAAAAATTATCTTCAGTTACAAGCTAACAGTTTTCTACAATAGAGATCTAATCGTAGGTGATTAATGTCACCATATATCTGACGATATTATTGTGGCGAATTTAGAAATTTAGTCGTATACTCAACTTTTTTGTTCCATTGAATGGAGATGATTTCGAATATTATATTAACAAAACACTTTCCAAACAGACAGGAGTATATATATGTATTGTAAATCATCATTCTTATGATACGGAGCATATTATATTTGATTTTGAAACTGATGAAAATGACGAGCTGTTACACTATAATTGGTTCAATTTATATTAAACTTGAGAGTTTTTTTCTATTAGAATAAAACTTATATATAAATATTCTTCTTCTGTTAATTGTGTTTTTAAATGTAAACAAGGTTTGAAAAAATTTTCTGAATTCATTAATGAAGGCACATACTTGAATCTTCAAAAATTGAGAAATAATGAACAAATAAATTATAGCTCTCGAAAACCTAACAAAATGATCATCGATTTCACATCTATTCTTGAAATATTGGTAATAGTGAATGTGAATATATTTTGTGCGCAATATGATAATTCATTTAAAGAATTAGGAATGAATTTTTATTCTTTAGGTTATAAACAACATCCATTCTGGAATATCTGTTACTATTACAGTCGAAGGATATAAATGTCTAATCGAAAATTTGAAGTATAAAAGTAAATTCGACGAAGAAAAACAAAACTTTTAAAGTAAGACGTTGGATAAAAAAGAATTTATTATTCATATCATCAAATATCTCTGCTACAAGACAACATAGGAGCATAAATACATTCTGTTTTGTTATTTAATAGTAACACAGAAAGCAAACAAAAAAAAAATTGTGTCTTTTTAAATATATAATCACATATATTTTACAAATATATCTTAAAATATATTGTTATTTTCTGTCGATCTTTTCTTTCTTAATTTACAAAAATGTAATAACAAATTTTCATGCTTAATAATCCATTTCATTATTGGCATAAACGTCAGTTTAAAAAGGAGAAAAGCTAATGCAAATATACCAATAATAGTCGTTGTAAAAAGTATATTATGAAAAAGAACTTCACCCATTCTTGCAATTGGTTCTTGTTTATTAATAACATAAAATTCTGTTTCACTAAAACTAATAATAAGTGTATGTTGTGTAGATAGATAACGAAGATAAGCACCTTGTTGTAAATAAACAACACGATCACTCAGTGATCCATGAGTAGATGTTGGAATCCATATACCACTGTAATTAGTTGAATCACTATAATCTAATGATTCTGTTCGATTAATAACTTTTGTAAGGGCAAAATTGATTTCTGTTGTTTGACTAAGAGTTTGATCGGATGTAAAAAATAATTGACAATAGTCCAAATTTTGAACTACATATGTTGAATCATTACTTGAAGAACGCGAACCTCCAAGACATATAAAAACACCACCAATATAAGATGATCCTATGTAAAAGAAATGACATTTATTTTATTCGAGATATGATTTACCTGTCAAATTTATTTGTATAGTCATTTGATGATAAGGTACACGATATACAACAGTAAGTGTAGCATTATCTGATTGAACAGTGCAATTGGTACGTGGTATTAATACTGAATAAGTGCCAATATTTTCCTTAAAAAAGAAAATCATTTTCAAAAACAATATTCACGTATTTTGACAATCAGATTAGTTCAGTTTGAAAATAGTCAGTATGTGAGAAGAAAATTTTGTTTGGATCTAATCTTAGCAATTCATATTTTAAAACATATGGACGACGAAAGAAAAAAGAATAAAAAATTCTCATACTAAACTTTTAGTATTTGCTTTTATCTTAATGAGAGTCAAGAGTTTCTCATTTATTTACTTGTGCAGTAACATCATCACAATTATAACCTGTCTGTAGAAAATTGACAGTCATTGTAAATTCTTGCATATCAAGCATATTAAATATAGGTGTTTCGTCATTAGATTTAATAGTAGCTAATAATTGTAGAGCTGAACTAAATTGAGTATTTCTTAATGATGTATCACATACAAAATAACTATCGGTTGATGTTTCTACTGGATATTTTATAACAAAAACTGTACCAAACCAAAAACTATAGACGATAAGAACAATGATAGAAAATGAAATAAGTCCACCAAACCATAATTCTCCATTACCAATAAGATCAGAATGACGAAAAATCCATTCAAGACGTTGAAAATGTTTCTTTCCTGTTGGAGAATAATATAAGACTCCCATGATAAGTAGAATAATAAAAGCAAGACATAATGCAATTAGAGCCCAAAAAAATGGTGAAATGAGAAGACATCGAATAGGTTTTGTTTGTAGACTAAACGTATTTTGCATGAGAATATCATCGAATGATGCCATTGAAGATGATGTAGGATAAGCATAAGCTTGACTTTTCGATTGAAAAATTGATTTGTTTACATCACTGACTGAGGCAAGAGGACATAAAGAATTCGATGAACAAGCAATACACTCTGCAGTCGGATATCCTACATACGTTACATACGATGAATTAAATGATATACCTTTAAAAAGTCAAAAAAAAGTAATATTTTAAAAGAATAAATTATTTCTTACTAATAGAAGAACTTCTAGTCATTGTTGGACATATTGTACATGGTGTTGGACCTCGAATACTTTTATAAGTTCCACGTGGACATGGTATTGGATGTTGTAATGGAACATTAATATCATCTGTTTTCATATAGTAACCTGCATCAGCTGAACGAATTAACACTACAGTTCCATCTGTTGTAAGTATAGCTAATTGATTATCGTATGTTTTTGTTAATCGAATAAATATTGGAGGTGTACTTGACCATTGTTCTAAGGTTTGTTGATTATTAGGATAAGCATATAATATATCATCAGAAGATATATTGATTACTTGTATTCGAGATTTTGCCCAAGGAAGTGTAGCTTCATCGCTAAGAAGTAAGCCAGCTTGTATACCATCATCATCAAGCCAACTAGTTGAACGTGCCGGATGATTAAATGTATTGATTAAAATCAAATTTGTACTATTAAATGAAAAAAGATATGTTTTACGTAATTGTGGAACACCAATAAGAACTTGTTGAGTTAAATCATGAATTGAAACAGACATAACATAATCAAATTGATAAGAAGAAGCATAATGTCCACGAACAAACTTTTGATTATAAGAATACAAAGTGTAATTATCAACAAGAGTCATATTATAAGGAGGATTTAAACGAACAAGATAAACAGATGGTAGTGTTTTTTCAATGTCAAATTGATAATAACCAGCAATAATTGCTATTGAAAATCCATCATTTGTCTCACTTACATCTAATGCATGTGGTTTAATATTGATTAATGGAAATACATCACTCCATAGAAGACTTTTCACATACTGATTTTCAATATCATAAATAAAGATATCTTGTGAAAGAAAACCATATGCATATTTTCCATAAAGATCGACTTGTAATGTTGACAATTCAGATGGTTCACGTTTCCATACTTTCGCATCATGTTCTCCTTCATTAATACGTAACATTTGACTACACGAATTATTTGATAAACCAATTCTATTTTGACGTGAAAATGTAAATAAACCTAATTTTTGATATTGACCATCTGTTGAATTTGTTCGTAAATAGACAAATGATAATTGTGAAGAATTTTGCCGTCGACCAACAGCTATACTAATGACAAAATCATTTGGTGTTGTATAATTATAATTACATACAAAGGCCATTCCAAAAGGAGCCATTGAAACTATATAACGCAGAGCATCATTTTGAGCAAGTACACCAAAGTAATCTGTACTAGCTATACGTATCCCATATGCATCATAATCGTGTCTATCCGAATAGGTGACTGCATTGATAGGTGAAAAAAACGTTTTCAAAAAAAGAATAGCCAACACATGAAATATAATCAATATCGAATGCATATTCTCATTTTCTTTTGAATGCAATTGTATAACTTCATAATATATACATACGTATTGAGCTGCCATTTTCTAGAATGAATCATGTTATTCATAGATTCTGCTGTTAGATTAGTATAAATTGTATATCAAAGAAATATGTTTTTTTTATAATGTTATGCCTTTTCATCTTATATTTTCAAGTAGGAGCAGCATAATTATTGACGTACTATTGTGTAAAATGTAATAGAATTATTATTATTGAAAATATGAATAGAACATAACAAGAACGAGGTTAAACAAATAGATTGTAGAGTGATTTTTTTTTCGAAAAACTAATTTCTCTAATCATATAACTAAATTCGACAGAACTATAATTATTATTACTTCAATAATTAATATGCAGATGGATATTATTATAAATCTTTTTGTGCAAGAAAATCAAGTGTAAATAAACTATAATTTATATATTTTACTTTGTTTGTCTTTTTTTCATGGACTATTAAATATTAAGTATATAAATTCTGTTCAAAAATAAATATAAATATGCGTTGTGCATCGATAATTTCCAATCATACTAACCGAATGCGTCATGCGTTATTTTTTTAAAATCACACTGAAAGCGCTGATTTTATTTCATTCTTTTTGTTATTTAGTTTTGATACTGACTAACAATGAAAAAAAATTATTAACTACTGTAGAATAAATTTAAAATAAAATATTGCTTAACATTTTTTTCTATCGTTTAATATATATTACACTTTGTATAGTTTTATAAAAGTGCGTTTAATATTTCAAGTATTTAGAAATATTCCAATGAAAAATATGGTCTGTTTTTATCAACATCAATGTCTTTTCTTCTTTCAATGCACAGCAAGGATTTTTGATGCAAGAAAGAACAAAAAATAATATAATGGAGTTTTAAATTCTTTTTTTCCATCTTTTCATATTAAATGTTCATGATAAAGAATTTTCTATGCATCGGCATTTTTTCCATGTAATTATTGCTATTTACTTTTTTTTTCTCTTTAAAATTTAAAACAAAAAAAAAAAGAATCAAATTAACTATTTCTAAACTTCATCTATTAGCCAAATGAATTTTATTGTTAATAAACATGATGTTTTTCACGAAGCCATCGTTGGAAATACCAAACAATAACAATATCCCATAAAATAAGAGAAATCATTGAGCCAGCACAAAATATTAAGTCTGGTTTACTTCTTTGATCAAGTATTTTTTGATTTTTTTCATAATCCCAATAAACACCATGCATTTGACACACAGTTACAAAATAAATACATAAATGAAATAAATGATGACTTTGACCAATAAAATCTAAACCACCGGGCCAAAAACGTTGAGGTATATCAAAAGCAAAAAATGTTGCACCAATAAGAAATAATATCACTTGTCCTAGATGACATATTGAACTTAAATCTAATGGAAATCTACATGAAATTAAACCAATAATTAATGGAATAATTGAATAAATCCATAAAATTCCACATGGTAAAAATTGACAAATACGTTTTAATGGTGGATACGGTGGATGAAAATAATATTGAGCAAAACAATTTAAAAAACAAGCAAGAATACCAAATAAAAGAAGAATAAATACATATTGATATTGAATTTTATCATAATACCATTGTGGTGCTGAATAATAAATATGAAGAAATCCCGAACCAAAACCATGTAAACTAACACCAACATAATCAATTGCAAAACAAGTTCTATGAATTCTTTCAGATTTCGAATGAAGTAAATGAGCAAATGCTGAACATATAAACATTATGATAGCTGTACATAATGATACAACAAATGGCCATGAATGAGAATTTTCATAAAATTTTAATCGTTGATTATAATAATATAATAAATATCCCATATATAATATACCGATTAAATGACTCCAAACATTAATTGTTTCATTATGTTTATGAAATAATGATTTCCAATAATAAGACCATGGCTGATGGATTGAACGATAACCATGTAGTATAAATGATTCAACAAAAAGTGGAGGAACATCATTAAATGTGTATGGATAACGTGACATATTTTGGAATGAGATAAAAGTTGATCGAACACGAAAATAAAGTCGTTGTAATCGAGCAGAAATATCATGTTCGAACGAGACAGGTATCGTAGAAAAATAATAAGAGAATCGTGTTGTATCAAACATTATTTCAATTTCTGTCTACAAGAAAAAAAAAATTTCAATTACTATTCTCAAATGACAAAATTTATTGCAAAACCAATGAACAAAAAAGAAATATTAAAGCTCAATTTTTTCTCATACATTAGAATGATGTTACATCATTTACAATTTTTGTTTGACAATAAATGCGACAAACCAGAATTTCACTAAAAAGATTTTTGCATTCGGATTTCGATCTAAACCGAAAAGTCATCAGAACTTCAGATCAGGTTCAAGTATACCTTATTAATTTTCATCAAAAGACTTATTTCTATAAATATTTGGTACATTCCTTAGTGCTCAACAGAATATTATTCTATAGGTTACTATGCTATGGTGCTCAGCACTACTGATTGTAACAACTATTCATAGAAACAAGGTTTTTTCTTTTTTTTATAAGAACGAATGAGGTAAAATTTGACTTAGTCCGACATTTAGGATAGAAAATTCCTCGGATCAAAATTTATGCAACTCAAAAAAACAACGATTATTTCCTATATTGACAAAAATTCACGATCATAAAAACAGTGAAATTTGTTTTCGTATAGATTCAAGTGTAGTGAAATGATAAATACAAAATATATCAGAACAAGTTATGTTTCATTTAATTGCTTTTACACTACTCTTTATTTCCTAAGGTTCATTCTTTTAACAGCTGTTAGTCTCTGTAATCAATGTATCGCTCTAGTGCCCTTTTGACTATAGAATATCATTTACTAGTGAGAAAAATAAAAAGAATCAGAAGTCTTTGACACATTATATACTATATAATATTTGATGGTCTGTAAAGAAACGATAATTAATAGTTGAGATCATCAGAAACCACACGTTGTTTTTTAATAACTCAAATATGGAAATTTACTTACTTTTTCTCCATCTGTTGTTTGTCACATTTAACGTCAATAATAATGGCAGTCGTTATATTATTGACGATTGCCTAAGAAAGTGAAGAAGCAATCCGATGAGAACCTGGTAATGTGTTTCGTGCAATAGAAGTCTACACCCGAGTTCACCACTAAATGTGTATGTACGTGTTTTTTCTCTTCCTCTTCTCGTTTTTTTCTTTCTTTCTTTAACTTCAAGAAGGCAGTAATAATTTAGATTATGTTTTGAAGCAAAAGTAAAATCGATCAATAAAATATTTGAATTTTATAGAATGACAGCTTTATATCCTTTAATCAATAGAAGATATGTTGTGAAATGTAAAGAAATTGTAATACTACAAATATTTTTTCACATCAAAATGAGATTATGACTGTTGGCAGATGACATTTATCATATAGAGTTTCTGTATGGGATTATGTTTATGATCGATAGCGTACATTTTTCTTGTCAAATGCATAGATAAATACGGTTATTTTTGCTCTTAATACTAACAGACGTTCTTGGATCTATTCTTTCCAGATTTTTGTTTTCCTTCATCGATCAGTCAAGATTCTTTTTCTGTTCAAAGAAAAGACTCTTGTCTGACCTTCAAGACAAATGTCATACGATATTTATAAGTTTATGTGTATATACATATATATATATATACACATAAATGTCTCCACATTATTTATTGATTTTCACAAGACGACTGTTAATACTTATTGTATTGTATTCAATGAACAAGAGCTATCTTTTTTCATATAATTGATGAGTTTCATCTCCATATCAAGTCAGCGCACATGTTTAATTAAAAAATTGCATATGTACGTAGTTTCAATAGTGCATGAAATCGTTGTTAGTTTGAGAAAGTTTCCAGAAACAAAATAATCAAAACACAGAACATCAACAATAAATGAGACCTTATCACTTCCAGATGATGAATATAAAGAATACACAATTATAAGAAAAGTTAAGTATTTTTAATATAAATAGATTATTTTTATTATTTGTTTCATCTTTGTTGTTTCTTGACAAAAAAAAAGGTCAGATTTCTATTTGCTTATTTGTTAAATGTTCTGATCTCAAGAATCATTCTAGAAGATAAATGATGCGAAAATTAATTTCCAAAGTAAATTGAAAATGAAACTTCACTATAGAATATCTCTAAAAGTTCAACATAACGTCAAATCTCTTCTTTATTAACAATTGTCACTGATTCTGATAAATTTCGATTTGACAAACTGTTTAACATACTGCCAAATACATCTACGTATAAAATAAATTGTTTGGAATGATTTAAATTAAAATAGAGTTACACTTAATCAACAGATATCATTCAAGAACTGAATGAGTTTATTAAAATATTTTGTTCAATATACAAAATATAACTCAGCGAATGATTGCTCATCATAGGAAAAATCAACAAAGAAATCATTTCAGTAAAGACAACAATAAACTTCTTTTAGGAATCTCTAAGAAAAGTGATTAACAGTCAATTGTTGCAAATCTGAAAATAGGATAGAGTTCATAAAACTACATACGCAAAGGTAACAAAAATGTCGAGAACAAAAACTCAACAAAATATGAGTGATGTTGATTCTTCAAATCTAATCAAAGTGAGTATAGCAATTTGTTGATGAATTTTAATTCGGATGCGACTAATGATTTGTTTCCAGTCAAATTTCGCTGTTACTCAGCAGCCTAAATAGTAAAACAATTCGATCAAACAGTCATTCTACTTGAGATTCCGCATCGAATTCGGATATTCTATTGTTGATGTACATCACATCATGTGAATTTTTTCATAATTGATTCACTGAAAAGCTAGATTAAGGTAATAATTCAATTGATTGAAGAGAAAATGCAGCTGGCGTTCTAGATCGATGCATTGTTCATTGTACCGAATTCTGAGTTAACCGACTGTAACAACTGCCAAATCAACAGTAGACAAAAATATGTCATCGTCAACAGAAGATTACCCATCTTTGCATGATAGGTAACGAACAGAGTTGGAGTAATGCTAGGATCCTTGAGAGTCATCATGAAGAATTGGAAATCAGAGTTATCATTTGCTCTGAATCTCGATGTACCTCATCAAACTTCTAGTCAAGTACAAATTCATTTGACAAAAGCTATGAGGGATATTTATTTGGATTAATTTTCAGAATATTCTTCAAACCACACTTAATCAAACACACTTGCAAAATCGATAAAAAAACGTAACTACTGGAGAATTTTTTCACATGTTTCAGTATATCTGTTTGACTAGAAGTGAAATACACGTTTGTAATTGATGAGACATGTCAAATTTATAACATGACTATGACATAAAGTGTTTCCTTTTTTTTTTTTTTATCATTGAAAATGTTCTCTATTTCATCTTCTTATGTTTTATCTGAAATCTCATGAGATTAGATGTTGCTTTTTTCTTTGAGTATTTTGTTAACAACGTGAAATGAATACACAACAACAGTCTTCTTGATGTATAGCAGAGATTACATCTAAACCACAATTCAAGAACGTAAGAATCGAAAAAAAAAAAATTCTTGCCTCATGAGCCAAAATACGGTCAACATGAATCTTGTTAGAATCTCAAGATCTGTTGTTTTTTTTTCAGGCAAGAATTTTATTCTAGATGGTCACGAAAAACAACGATAACAATGTTGATTTGTTTTTATCAACATCTTAAACTACATTCAACTAGCAAGAATTAAAAAAGAAAACAAAAGAGTAAACCAATAATAGAATCAAGATTCAAGTTCCAAATCTCATTCTATAAGATAAGGTTAACATTCAAATAAACAATCATTCTAATTTTTATCGACTAAATAAAATTTAAAATATTAAAAACAATTATCGAAACTACTTTGTAATCAAACGATCACTTATATAATCATTTTTTTTTTCTAGCTTAATACTAATATCAATAATCTTTTTGCATTATTTCCTATTTTAATAAGCATAAACTTATGAGCTTTTTCTCATTAACAATACATTGTTTGATTGGAAAAATGTATAATTAAAAAAAAAGGAAAAAGAAAAACCGGATATATGATAAGCAAGAGAATAGATAATACTATTTCAATATAATGAAGAATAAATAAAAGAGAATTATATAAGAAACAACAACTAAAAAATATTTTCAAATGACTCAAAAGAAAATAATGTTGAAACAAAACAATGATAAACATCAGATATTGGAGTATTAATATTTTTATTAGATAATAACGGAAATGATTTCAATATTGATTCTTCTTCTTTTCTACAGAATTAAGATATGTATTTCACAATAATTTCTATTATTTTATTCTTTTTTTTGTGCAAGTATTCATCAAGCACATTTCTTTTTTTTTTCTAATCATCATTCACTAACTTGCAACTGTCTAACCTACAGATTATCGAATTTTTCTTTTAATTATTTTTATTTCTATGAATGACTTTGCAAAGATGATTTTTATTTTGTAAAATTATTTTTACAAGATAAGATTAGAAAAAATTCATATAGTAACAATAAAATTTAATAATAAATCAATTTTTTATTCTTTCATTTATTGTTGTCAAGTAGAGTATTTGAGCAAAAACAATTGAAAAGCATTTAGAATATTAATTTTATACGAAAGAAAGGCAACGTTACCTCGACAAATTTCGAAAATTTTTTTTTCTAAAAAGTTTCTAGAAAAAATTTTGATGAACATAAATCTTCAAAATCTTTTATATTTTGATAAAAATAGTATGACATCTTATATATGTAAGATATGCAAAGACATCCTGTCTCATGTTGTTTTTTATGATTCGTACTTGTATAATAAGTCTTCCTTCTTTTTTTTTTTGTCTTTCTCTTTCTGTTGCCCTCAAGTCTTTTTTCTTTATAGCTATAAGCATTCGATGGTAATAATTATGCTTCGTATTACATTCGAATTGGTTTTAAATAAGAAAACATACGCACACTTTTTTTTCTCATTGTTATATTGTAATTTGCTTCTCATTTTCGTTCTTCAGTAGGTGGTGATGTGAAAGAAATAAAAATTCATCAACATATAATTATAAAAAAATAAGAATAATGACACTTTTTTTTGTTCATGTAACTTGTCTTTAAATATACAATAGAACAAAAAAAACCAAAAGTAAACTATTGATCGAATAAAAAAATTATTATTCTCTTTTTATTTCATTAGATATTCATTTTGTCTAGATTAAAATCTGTATTATATTAAACAGTAGAATGTCTACCGTTACCTATGCATCATTTAATTCAGTAACAACTCTGAAAGATATTCAGCATATATTTAAAAAACAAGCTAAAAGCATTTTTCCTCCTTTTCAATCGTATCCAACAGGTTTACAATATTTTAATATGCGTGTTACTCAACGTCTTCGTCGTTATCGTTCAATCAAAACACAAAGGCATGAAGTATCAACATCAGTTCAAAATATTTCTGCTTTATCAACAACATGTGAATCTCCAATGTCGTTGCCAGACATATTTACAATCACACAAGATCTAGTAAAAAGTTCAACTGTTTCAACACAAAAATTAGCTAGTGAACCAAAATCTTATTGTATTAATGATTATATTAATGCTATAACAATAGCAAAAGATAATAATAATAAAAATTCAATAGATCTTGATCCATTAAATTCAAGAATTCAACAAGACTTAATTAAATTAAGAAAATTAATTAAAGTAAAACAACGAAGATTTATTGATAAGGGTTCGTTCAAAACGCGTACAACTAGTCGATTATTAAGAGAATCGGTGAGTTAAAGAGAGATATTAATGATTTATTATCATCGTACGACTTTCAAATAGTCAGAGAGTTTTTTTTTGTCGTATAACTATTACTCTTACAGCAAACATAATTGATTTTGTTAAAATGAAAATGATGTTTTGAGCTTGTCCTATTTAATTGAAATTCATTTCAATGAAGATAAAAAATGAATTAATGAATAGCATTAAAAATAAATCTAATTCAATAAAATATGTCTTTCTCTTGTATTACGAACTAGTTAAAGTTTTGAAAGGACTGTAAAGTGTACAGAACCAAGAGTTAATGAAAAAAAAATAATTAGATGTTCGATGTACAAGAAAATATCTAATATGTAAATTTTGAAAGAAAAGGTTTTTGTGTTTTAATAATACTAATGAAACTGTTGTTTCTTCAACATTCAATTTACATAATCATGATCGACTTACCTCAACAAAATGCACATTATCTCTTATGTTAGATATTTTTATTACTGTCGTAGGAGTTGATCTTACTTAGTCTCAAGTATGTGGACTTATTAAAAACTAATTTCCTATACAAACGAGATGATGATATACACAGTAGATACAAAAATTATTCAACAAGATTTATTTTCACTTGTTTTTTTCTACCGTATTAAAAACGATAGAAAGGAATCCAAATAATAATTTGAGTAGAGAAAATTGTTTGCAACAGGAATACAAGGAAATGAATATTATTATCAGATTTCCAAAGATATGAACTCTAGAAAAATTCAAACTCTAGTTTTTCAACATCTAGAACGCGTAAATATGATGTTGATTAAATTACATAAAGTGATAGGATAAATTATTGTCTACAAAATGAGACGTCTTCGCGTTCTCTATGGCATATTTTAGCTGAGATATAGCAACCTTATAGAAGTCTCTAACGTCATTTTTTAGAAAGTTTCCTATATGAAAGCCATATTTTAACTTTCAATCAAATTGCTATATGTCAGTTACAAAAACGTAGCGGAGAACTCGGTGACATCACATTTTGTAGAGAATTATTTATTCTATCATTCAATGTCGTCTAAAAAAAATTATATTTACACGGTTCTGGTGCTGAAAACCTAGGCATTTGATTTTTTGGAGTTTCAATCTTTCGGAATCTTATAGTAATTTTTATTTCCTTATATTACCGTTAGAAACAATTTTCTTTACTCAAATTACTATTTAGATTTTTTTGTATCGCTTAAGATGGTAGAAAAAAAATTGAAAACAAACCGTATTACATAGTTTTGGTATCCACTACTATATAGTTTTATAATATTTACAATAAGTATTATTTATTGAATCTAATTTATGTTCAAAACTATTAATTATATAACTTTTTCTTAATTACATGGAGCTCGTTGGTACTTTTGATAATGTTGTTATTTTTACTAAGGATAATTTTAAAATATTTTGCATTTCTGTGAATTATTGATTCGTGTTTTATGAGAAGTTCAATACAAAACTAGAAAATCTTACAGAAAAAAAAGTATTGTCCTTCAGTTTTGGTTGAATCAACAGACTTCAATATTAAATCTATTACTTTCTATTGATTCACATATTTGAATTTCAAATATTAACAAGTATCCCATTCATATTTATCTTCATAACTTATATTCATATTTTAAGTGAAGGTAACGAATAAGAAAAAAGCATACCCAGCTACTTTATAAATAGTGTTCTCATGAAAAAGACGGGAAAAAAAAAGCATCAATCAAACTTTAATTTATTCTATTTTTTTGTCTATTGATGATAGGCATCAATACGTACGGCATTTGACGAACCAGAACATAGCAAAACAACGAAAATTAGACGACCATTTTCAATAGATAAACTTAAACCACTTGATCATGTCAAAATATCGGGTTCTCAATTACAACATTCAATACTTCCAAAAGGTGATTCGACTGACAGTGGTGTCGGTAGTACCAGTAATTCATCAAGTACTTGTTCACAATATTCAAAAGAAAAACAACAACAGAAAAAACTTAAACCAAAAAATAACAATAAATTATTTAACATTCGTTATAGTAAATCAAAACCTCCTCCTCCTCCTCCTCTTCGTCCGTCTGATTCACTTACTTATCGTGCATCGCAGCTATCAATGAAAACGTCAAGAACATCATCTAAAACAACTCAAAATATACTCTCAAAACAATCTCTCTCTTCTTGTCTACAGATACCTATACCACAAGTACCACCTGTAGTAACAAAAACTCAACCTAATTTTATTGAACAAGAAACTTCATCCCCAGCTATTCAAGATTTATCTGATAGTGAAGAAATAGCAACACGTTGTTATACATATGCAGCATCAACTTCATCAACAACTCCACATTCAATGATGCTCAAACGAAATACATCACTTTTACCAATTCTTTTACAATCAAGTTCTTGTATAGGAATTCAAACACGACAAGATCGACCAAAAAAAATGGAATCTGATCTAGAAGAAGAGCAGGAAGAAAATGATAATAATAATGATGATGATGATGATGAGGAGGAGGAGGAGCAGGAGGAGGAGGAGGAGGACGAAGAGGAGGATGATAGTTATTATCATTTACTTGATTATAAACATTTAATAAATTGTTTACCAAAACCAATTGTATCCATTCGATCACATTATGGACAAGATGATTATGGAATTTTATTTGAACAATTAGATCATATACGGGAGACAATGCCCGATTCGAATATTTATAATGACTATGCAAGAAACGTTTAAGTTTTTTTTTTGTTTCAAATCAGTTCTGACACATATGAGAAAAGACTTTAGTTTTCTCTTTTATTTTTAATTAACAATAATGAAATCAACTAATATTTTTATTTTTATTGTTCTACTGAAAACCATGTTGATCTTTCACATGGAACTTCAATAATTTATTGATGTTATTTATTCACTTTCTATCAATTTTTATAAAATTAAACAGTTTTCTTGTGATGCATGATTAACGAAAGCTTTTGATTTAATACTAAAGATGTATTAAGTAAATGAGATTTGAATAATAATTCAATATCAACAAGACAAAATATCAAATCTATTTAAATGTGAATCTATTAGACATACATTTTAGTGTTTGAGTTGTTATGCAATTATTTATTTGACAATAAAACGAACAAGTATCAGGCAAGATTTGACATGCATGTGATTGTGCAAATTTTAAACCATAAATGTGTTGAATGATAAACAATTATATAATATAGTAAAAATTTTTTTTATGTCTAAAAGAAATTCTTACCTTGCCTATAAAAAAATTGTTGAGCAATTTTCTATGATTCTTTTAAATATTCATCGTTTGCACTGATTTCTTTTATATATTTACCTGCTAAAAGAGAAAAATAATTTTTTTCTTTTTGTGCAAACGGAAACATTGATTAACCATTATTTACTATAATAGGGATTTACCGTTTGTCAATACAATAATAGTTAATGACAGTTGTTAATCATAGCTTTTTATCGATATAGTCATTTTTTATTTAGATAGAACAAAAAAAGAAGTTGGAAATCAACATAAAACACATTGAATACTCAAGTCAAATTAGTGAATTAATGGTAAGAGAAATAATCCAAAAAGAAAAAGAAAATGACGACTAGCTGTATTAACGATCGTAGATTTATTACTTATTATAATAGATTTCAAACATTTGAATCTCAATGTTACTTTAATGCATAAGGAAACATTATGAAAAAATTCGTTGATTATTCGACAAATATTGATTTATAATGTTTTTTTGTCAAAATAATGATGCAAATGAGACAAACATGAGCATCTCAAGATCACTTGAGATTATTTTAACAAGCATAAACAAGTGAAATGGCAATTTTTTTTTCTTTTTAAAAAAATACGAGTAAAAGCTTGTTTTTTTGTTAATTTTACGAAATAAAAATAAAATGCATCAAAATAATCGAAAAAAAAAGAGAAATCATTTATTTATTGTTAATTATTATAGTAAATCTTATCGTCTCAATGTATGAATCGATTTGTTTTTAAAATAATTAGATTCTTTTCGGAAGACGTAAATTACAAGAATATACTTTCAATCAAGACAGATAATATTGAAAACTATATATTTATGTTAAAGTGATTTTCTTCAACTTAAAATTGATAAAAAATCTAAAAAAAAACTAGCTGCTTCTCCAATTATTACTTTATTATAATTCTTTGATTATCAAGTATCTCGTTTGATCAGTTTCAACATCATTCTCTATATTTCCGTTTGCTATTTTTTTTAATAAGATTAATTTACTTTCACGATATTTGTTTGTCGACCACTTAGAGTTATTATTGATCAAAAAATTGACTTGCTAAATCGAGATTTTTAGATATGATTATGAGTATATCTTTTGCGAGTTTACCATAATGAATATTCATTGACATAAAAAGTAGAAAATCGTTGTATAGACAAACACAGATGAGCATCAAATGATCTTGATCTCAATGTTCTGAATTATTACATATGAAATGCTATTACCAATAATATATGATTGATTAATTCAGGAAACAAAAAAAAAAGAAAATAATTGTTTACCAAAAAAAAAGATACCGTTCACAACGTCGAAAATTTGTCGTACAGAATTTTACTTATTTTGAAGATATACATGATAAACAATTAAAATAAGTTTCACTTTGTCAATTGTAAAGGTGTTCACGCTATATCTTGTAGTATATTTTCTTATTTTAATAAAACGTATTTAGAGATTAAAATGTGAATTAAAAAATGTAACCATTTATTATTGGTCTCACGTTATATACACAGTGGATCATAAAATAGAGCTACAATAAGAAATTAAATTATCTCTACTTTGGTTCGTTCGAATAAGCTGATTTTTGTTTTTTGTTGATCGTAGAAGGTAATTTAGATTTTTTTTTCCATACGAATAACGTAAACGAATCACAGATGACCTATAATAAATGAGCGCACTTTCTAATTCATATTTTAATTTCTAAATACGTTCTATTAAAAACCAAAACACAATGTATTACACGATGCAGTGTGAAAAGTCTAAAACTCGAAAGTAAAGATTATTTTTATTATGCACATTTTATTTTCTAAACAATTAAAATTTTACGCGACCAATTTTCGATGTTGTGCCCGTTATCATTTATGGATACACAATGAATTCCTTGTTTTCTTATTTCATCGATTTATAAATCATCACACGTAATCATTCCAAATATTGAGATCAGAATTATTTGATGCTCATCTGTGATTGTTTATTAAATGGATAATATTTTACTAGTTTTGAATATTTTATCTTTTGCTTTATATTTTCTTGTTCGTTTGATTCTTGTTAACACATTCGAATGAGAAATATTTTTCGTCAACAAATAGAATTTTCTTCTATCGATGGGATGAAATAATATTTATCGAGAAATGATTATGTCTGCGACGTCACTAATTGGATGCACATGAGAGCTACACAATTAAAATTAGCTTTACTTTTTAGATTGTAGTACATTTTGTTTTATTTTAAATAAAACGTATTTAAAGATTGAAATATAAAATATAAAGTGCAACCATTTATTGTAGATTACCCAATATATTTTTGGTCTCAGTTAAGAAATTTTACGTATTGTCAAGTAATACAAATACATATAAAACATGTCATGGATAATTTTCAGGTGGCATCGAAGAGAATAAGAAGTCAAAATTAATTTTATGAATGATATTTATATTGATATACATAGAGTAAATTTTTAAAAATTAGATCAGTTTAAATGCTGACATTCGTATGTCACAAGTAAAACACATTTTTGCAACTCTTTGAGCACCTAATTCATTGTAAAAAACTAATGTTTTATGTTTGAAAATTTTCTCTTTGTGCATCAATATAGTATTATTCATAAAGTTTGTTTCAACTTTGTCTTATTATTCTTCTAGATGACAAGTGAAAATAGTCTATGAAACGCACTGCAACATATGTTTTTCTTAGTTGATAACAAGTAAAATTCCTTTCATGATACCAACAATAATACGTAATCGTAGTATTGACTTACCTTGTCCGTATGAAAAAATAAAAACTTTGAATAAAATTCTACGACGAACGAAAAAAAAGTTCATCTGAAGATATTTCATTTTGTTTTTTATTTATCGTGGTATTATTTATGATCCACATTGAATATCATAAAAATAACTATTGTATGTTTCTAATGTTTTCGAACAAAATCGACCAAAGAAGTAGAAAACATATTTTCATATGAAAATTTGTATTGTCGAATTAATCGTGCACAGCAACATTTTAAACGAATAACATCAATTTTTTTCTTCAATCGTTCAATTATTTTGAAACGAAATGAAACCACTGATTGAAGTGGAGTTTGTCCTTGTATATTAACATAATCTAAATGAGCTCCAGCATTACACAAAATATCAATTATTTGTAAAACATTTGATGATGAAATATTTTGAACAAGTTTATGTAATGGAGTATTTCGATTTAAATCCAAATCATTTACATCAGCACTACAATCAATAAGTAGACGAGTTGTCATCCAACATGGATAACTAGAAAAGAATTTTTTTGTTGAATTTTTACTTTACAAAATTCTAATTTATTCTCACTCAATAGAAAATGGAGTACTTTCTGTTGAAGAACTTGTACATAAATGAAGAAGTGATGAACCAGTTTCCATTGTTCTATATTGATATCGAATAATAGATGCAATAGATTTATATAAATCTCGACAATAATCAATAGATAACTCTTGTTTTTCATTTAAATATTCACTATGAATTATTCGTGCTACAATTGTAATTAAATGAAGTAAAATAACCAAATTAATATCAAAACTTTCTCTATAATAATCTGATCTAAGTACATAATTCATAATTTTAAACATTTGAAGTAAATCATCGATAGGTATGGTTATATGATTATGAAATTTCATTTTTGCAAATACAGAAATAAAATGACTTAAATGATCAGTTTCAATAATAATATTATATTTTTGTTTTAGATCAAATGTATAAAACCACCAACGAAAACATTCATGATATTGATGATTATGAGCTAAATTAGTTCCATAGTGATAAATAACATCATGATAATCACTTTGATCATTACCAAGAATACGTTGATGAACAAGTATTGCTTCAATACGCAAAGCATCTTTTATATTAGAACAAAGAAGTTGATTTAATTCTTCTTGAGTTTTACATTCATGACGATAATGTAATATTTCCAAAGGTTCTGTAATTATTTGTTTAGATAAATTTTTCTCTAATCGTAATTCAAATGCTTCAATTAAATATTCAAGAGTTTTACTTAGATTTTCAATACGAGATATACATCCAGAAAAGCTTGTTGCAAGTAATTCTTTTGCTTCAATCCATTCAATATCTGTACAATAATCTTTGAAAGTATCAACTAAATTAATTTCTCCAAAAAGAGCAGCTCGCATAAGTGGAGTGACTTTTCTTTTATTATCACGAATATTAAATGCTCCATTTTCAAGTAAAAATTTTGTTATTTCAAGTGATCCAGATCTAACTGCATAATAAAGAGCTGTTTGACCATTTTCATCTCGTTCATTTATATTACATTTGAGTTCATTCACTAAATAATTAACTATTGCAGGATATTGACGACCTGCACTTAACATAAGATTAGTATAATTGCCTTTTTTTGATTGATATGGATTAGCACCATGTTCAATTAAATATTTAACCATTTTAAGATTATTATGATAACATGCAGCACGAAGAGTTGTACTATGAGTTTTTATTAAATGATTAATATTAGCATTACCATTTTCAATTAGTAATTTAACAATATCAAAATTATTGACTGCACCAGCTGTCCAAAGAGCTGATACTTCTTCAGCTAAATCTAAACGATTATCTATTGAATTAAGAGTAATTGTACCCAAAGCTTCAATATTAGACTTATAATTAGTAAGTAACATACGTACAACATGTTCATGTTGGTAAAAACATGCTGCAATTAATGGTGTCCATTGTGATTTACCATATGTGTAGAGTTTGTTGATACATTTTGGATTTTGATTCAAATAGACTTCGAGTGAAATAATATGACCGTAACGAACAGCATCATGAACTAATTCTTCATCATTAATAGCCGATAATTGAAATGACATATTACTTAAAATAAAAAATCTATATTAAAGAAATATTTTTTCCTAGTAGAAAGTTTTATTGAGTTTCACAACCACACTGTAACGTGCGAGTCATTACGCCTTTGGAGAAACAACATTTAAAACATGTTTTGCTTCGCACGCAATATGTAGACAGAACCAAACACGTGTTACCTACTGCTTTCTTTGTTGATATTTATCGAATATAATACGTGCGAAGAGAATGAAGAAATGAAAAGAAGTATTATATGTAATTGTATGATAGAAAATGCATTACCTCCAAAAAAATAACAACAACAGCTATTCAAAAATATCGATCAAAGTAAAACAGTGCATAGGATTACATCTGAATAAGCGTTAACTGTACTCTCCAAACTCATGTTACCTTTCTGTTAGAATTTAAAGTTAACTAAATGTATGTGAAATAATTATTTTATCTTATTTCTTGTCCTAATTAGACAATCAATGTTTAATTACAGTTTCGAAATTGAGTTTATCACATTGTTTTCACGAAAAAAACAATCTATGTTAGGTGGAATTTTTCTTTTAGCTCGCATATTTTCGCTAGAATTTAAATACATATTATTAAACACATCTTGTTTTCACCAAAAATGCAAACAAGTTGTTCGAGAACGCATTTTGTTTGTTTTCTTGCAAAAGTCTGCTTCTATCCGGTTTTTTTTCTATTCTTACTCTTATTATAGCCTTATACCTGTATTTTGACACTTATTTTCATTATGTCTATATCGCTATAGCTATTATCTTAGACCTATACTCCCATTAAATAAGTTTTCTATAAATTTTTGTTTATTTTTTGTCAATAATAATTTGAACTTTTTTAGATAAAGCTTAATATCTTTACGAAAGAAATGTATATGTCATAAGTAAAATTAAATTTTAGATAAACATAAACTTAGAATGATTTCGTTCTTAATTAGTCATAAAACACCAAAATAATTTTCTTTTATTTAAAAATAAATTCTAATTTTCATTTATATTAACAGAAAATAATACTTGCATACTTGTTATTGTTAAGTAGGCAAAGTATTTATTTTCACTAATCATATTGTAATGTATGCATGAATGACTTCGTTTATGTCGACATCAGAAAATGATATTCAAAAGTATTTTGATGTACAAGCAGCATATCAACATATTCATTTTTTTAGCTTCAAGTTCCAAGAGTAGACATTTATTATTCTACCGCAAGAAATTTGTAGATAAAAAAGTTCTTCATTGTTTTTTATTGAAATAAAACTTACCAATATAATATATTCATACTTTAGATATTATCGATGAACCAGGTCAAAGTTTTTTTTCTTTTTCGTAGAGACTTGCTAAGACAAACTAGACTTCAATTAAAGATAAATATAACTTAATATAACTATACAAGATCAATTCGTTGCTCTGACATGTTTGTTTGAATCTTTTAAAAACTCGTTTTAATTTTGCCGCAATCTCAACTTTGCCTGACACGCCTTGTCGTCATATTGTTGTCATGATGAGGTTTGCTAACATGAAGTGGTTGGCTAAACTTTGACAATGATTAATATGGTTATTTATTGCTGACTCGAGTATTTATTTTCGCCTTATTGTTTATGATAGAAAAACTGAGTCATCAACAGATTGAATGAGGTAATCTAGTCCTGAAAGAGTCGTTTATCAATGATTTAAATGAATGCTTTTTGAAAAGAAACGAATGAAAATAAATAAAACAAGCCACATTACTCGAGTTTATAGAATACATATTCTCAAATGTGATTTAAGTCTATTTTAATAATTGTTGGACATTAATAATATTGATTTTCGTCGATACAAACAGAAGTCAAGGGAAATTTCTTTTTTCAACTATTATTAATCGATCTTGATTGAATTATTTTTCATATATGTCGAAAAACACAAGGAAAGATTCGTTGAGCTTTAAATCAAAAGTGGATATGTCTTGTCACTAGTAGAGTCTTTAAAACTAATGCTATATATCTGATATCATTTTTTTTTTTTTACTAAATCTTTGTTATAAGTTGCTAACAATGTGTAACTTTATCAGAAGAAAATCGCTTACCTACTCATATGCTTAAAAGTAGTAAATATGAAGAAAAATTATTATACATACGATTGAGATAGATAGATCGATATGATTACTTCTATTGGTTTGTGGAATGTTTTATTTATTTTAATTACTGATTGATATTGAGCTTGCAAATGACATAAATCAGATATTAAACCTCTTCTCGCAACAGAAGACTTGGTGTCTTTGATTATGTCCAAACGTACAAATTTTTCAGGCTATCTTCTATTGTATCTCATATATTCTTATAACTGTTAATAAAAATAGTTTTTCGAAAAATTAAAATGATTTACATAATTTGGGAAGCATTTTACAGAGTTTTAAAAATTTAGAAATAATATTGACCTCAATCTTTCAACATTTGTCTACTTAAATTCTTAAAAACTAGACATATGTTAATATAAATATACTAATTAAAGTTTCGATTTTGCGAGAAATCAATTAAGTAAAGAAAGTCTTCTGCCGTGTTCAATGCATCGTTCCGCTAAAGAGGATCTACTACATACAATAATAGAGTTATTGATGTTGGGCAATTTGAATATGGATTTATTGTGTCTAGCATAGAGTAACTAATGGAAATTTATTATTTTTTTTGTAGTATTCACTCGATCCATTGAATTTATGCCAGCAAACTGATATATTTATTACGCATAACTTTGAATTTTGACTATGTAACTGTATTCTATGAATCAAGTACATTCAAAATATCTGAATATACATTATTCTGCTTCCACTTTAATATTAAAAAAATCCATCACATCACAAAACGATCACAATAAAATGGTTCAATCGATACTACAAATAAAACTGTCATAAATATTACTATATCACATATTATAACTAAATTGCATCGATATCCATACTGATAGATAGTATCAGAATAAATTATTATACATTTACCAACTGTTTTATGTATCGATATCCTCATAATTTAAATACATTAACAAATCAAATAAAAGTTCATTAATACATGACTTATAAAATTTGTTCCATTCAAATATTTCAGATTCAATTGAATTCTCATGTCAACTGTAATATATCAAAATATTTTTTTTTTCTTTTGGTAACATTATTGATCCACCCTGAATTATCAATTGCAATATTTATAATTCGTACCGTTTTTCAAATTATTGGCTATACATAATCATTCCTTAAGATATACAAGGATGTCTTCATGAATTTTGATATTCCTCAATAAAAATTTTTCTGTTGTAAATTATTATTCTCAGTTTTATATGGAGTTATGCTCAAAAAGAAACTTGATTGCATAACTAATCACTGAGAGACATCTGTAAATAAATATATTATTATCTTTCACTTCAATTCTGTCTTGCTTTACAATCAGTCGTATCAGATCGTTTATCTATCAATAGAAAACATTCATCGTTCCTCTTCATCTATTTTACAAAAATCATTTTTAATTTCGTGTTTCTTCGATTTTGTTTTTGAGAGTAAAATAAAAAAAAAAAAACTAGAATGAACTATCGTTATGATACTTGTCGATCATTATTATCAATGTGAGTTCTGATAAGTTCTTATATTTTTTTTCTTCTTATTCATTCTACTACTATTTTCAAACTTTAAGACAATCTTGTAATTCACTTTCATGGATCCATATAAAACTTCTTGGCACTGGTTCGTCTTTGTTCGATTTATAATTTTGAAATGAAATTTTAATCTATCAGGTACGTTTGGTTATGTCGATCATGTTCGTCATCCAATTGAACATAGTTGGGAATTCGCTCGTAAAACGATTAAACACAATGACAAAGTTGATTTCAATGGTGATATATCATCAACAACTATTCGAGAAATATCCATTCTTAAAATGCTCGATCATCCAAATATTATCAAGTAAATTAGTTAATCAGGGAAAAAAATCCAATTAACTATTATTTAACAATATTCTTTAGACTCATCCATGTTGAATATAATTTGAATAAAAAAGATTTTCTTTCATTTTTTCTTGAAATGTTTCCTATAGATCTTAAACGATACATGGATGCATGTTTAAGTACAGAACGATTATCTGCTAAACTCATACAAGTAAACAATAAATAAAATATTATCTTAAATATATTTAATTTTTATTTTTATTTTAGAATTATACATATCAAATATTATGTGCTATTGATTACCTTCATCGACATGCCATTGTAAAATTTTCTTTCTAATTATAAGTCTTTCGTTATTCTTTTTATTATTATTTAAGATTCATCGAGATATAAAACCATCGAATATTGTAATTGATTATGATGGTAAATTCTTGATTTTAACTATTAGAAATATTTATTTAGGATTTAAGGTCATTTAAAATTAACTGATTTTGGTCTTGCTCGTCGTTGTCATTTACATGAACAAGCATTAACACATGAAGTTGTAACTCTTTGGTATCGTCCACCTGAAGTATTACTTAATGCACCAACTTATGGTATGTCTTTGGATATATGGGGTGTTGGTTGTGTATTTGCAGAAATGTGTCTTCATCGACCATTATTTCGTGGTGAATGTGAAATAGATCAATTATTACTTATTTTTCGGTAAGTTAATTTATGTTGATCTTCACTCTGCATTAGTAGATTGCTTGGTACCCCATCGGTAGTTGAATGGCCTGATATTGCTAATTGTCTTTATTATCAAACAAGTTTTCCAAATTTTCCATTCAATAGTATTGAATTATCTCAATTACCGATGTCAAGAACTTGTCGACAATTTCTAACAGTATGAATTCATTGCTGAATATAGATTTGTTGGTTTTTTTTTTAATGTAAATATCAAATATATTTTAGGATATTCTTGTCTACAATCCACAAACTCGTCCACTAGCTAAACAATTACTAGAATATCATCGATATTTTACTTGTTCATCTAATATTAATTTAGAAAAACCTATTAAATCTAGCATAGATCGAGCTATTCAATTACAAACTGAAAATATGAAACATATTGTTATTTAAAACATTGAAAATAAAAATGAATATTGTATCTTTTTTATTTTTCTTCTCGATTTCTTGTGTCTAGTCTTGGCTATTATTTTCTTTTCTTTTTTTTTTTTGTTTGTTTTGTTTGAATAAAAAACAAAGCAAATGAGATAGAATGAATAATGATTAAAAAGAAACCCATGATGAATAATAGTTGGGAGTGTCCAATAAAGCAAAGATCATTAGTATCTTTCTTCCCGCCGATAAACATATAGTGTCTATTGATCGAATGCGTGATGACACATTTCCTACATGAACGCGTATGTATGTTTACAATCGGCTCACCTGCATACCTATCTATCTTATGCAAACATATACATATTCATTCAATCAAATTTCTTTTTCTCTATTCTATATCACTACAAGGTGAATTGTCGTATATAGAAAATGATGCAATGTTCGTTATAGTAACGATATTTTCATTGATTATTTTCCATTTTATTCAAGTAACATCATTATTATCAGAATGTGAATCGACCTCAACGATTTGGACGTATTATCCATGTTCATTTATTATTTCATCATCATCATTCTATTGTCAACAAACATCAATTAGTTCGTCAATTGATCAATGTATAGACAGAGAAATAATGTTTTTTTGGCATTTTCCATCTGGTAACATGACAATAACATTGAAAACAGATAACAATCAACCATTTTTATTACATTTATTTAAAATATCATCATTAAAAAAAAAATTAATTAAAAATATTTATCATCTTGTAAATAATAAAACTATGGAAGAACAAAAACTTAATATTAATGATAAAGGTGTAATTATAATTCCTTCGAATGAATATAATCAATGTTCAATTAAATTTGAAACATCAAATCGAATTATTTTTGATTATGGAACATTAATACGAATGACAATTTGGACTTATGACAATAATGTTCATTAGAATTTTATTTCAAAAAAAATTGTTTCTTTTTCTTCTTATTACGAACAGTATGAAAATAAATTCTTCGATTAAAACTTATTTTTATAGTGTCCGAAAATTTATTAAAAATTGTGCGCATTTAGCGTATGAATTCATGTTGTTCATACCCGGATTAAACAATAACATCGATTTGATAGAAAGAAAAAAATGATGAAAATATTTCAAATTAACCTCAAGACACATTGTTGAACTTTCTCTAATCTTTAAATTCATGGCTACTGATTGACAATATTCTCCATTAGAGTATCGTATAAGTGAAACAACAAAACAGTAATCTTATTAAGAATACAGAAATCAATGAACTATGCCGTAGGTTTTTCTTTGAAATATTTTATTCATTTTAATAATTCAGCATAATGTATGTAGTAAGCAGAATAATAATACTGAATAATAAACGATTTTAAAAAAATCAACGACCTCGACATATTTGATGAAATAATAATATTTAACAAGTATCTGATTTGTAATTGTAGTATTCATTTGAAAAAAAGTAAAAAAGATATTTGATTAGTTTTTCGTTCAAATAATTATGTGTTTTTCAAATTAGGCATTTTAGCAAATGAAAATGAATCACACCACTAAATGCACTAAAGAATTCTGCTCTCATCATGTAAAATTGAAATTTCACATTATCTAATTTTAATTTTTGTAGAATCGATGCTTTTATTGTATAATACTTAGCGCTTAATGTAACACCGAAGAAAAGCACACTAATCTCGAAAAAAACAATACATAAATAAAATATACACGAAGCTTTCAATTTCTAAATAACAGAATGCAATAGTTTAATAGAATCTAACTAGAAAAAAGAAACCATTAGACTTGTTACATTTGGTATCTCATATTATATATCGAATGTTGGTTTTTCAAAATATGAAAAACAAATCGAAAAGTTCTCATTCACGAAAACATTCTAAAACTAACATTAAGAGTTCACTTAAATCAAAGAATAATATGTAATAGTGATAAGTAACGATAGAATGAAATATAAAATAATAATATCAGAATGTGATCAGTACCATATAAGTACAAATGATTATTGATGTTTGTCGAAAACAATTTCGATGACACTTCTAATAATCGTTAATGAAAGAACAACAATGAAAAGAAAACAAAACAAAAAAAAATTATTCATACGTTGACCTATAAAAATGACGAATAATAACAACAACATTGTCTGATCACGTTCGTTGATACAAGACAATATAATAGTGCTTTGTACTATTATCTATGAAGTTAATAAAGAAGAATGATGCATAATATTGACTAGATTTGTATTAAAGCGAAAAAAAAAATAACAACAACATTTGAGCATCTATTGAATAAATTGTTCTATGAAATATTTATTCCTTTTTCTAATATTAATTGGCGATTTGCAACTGTCTTTAGTAAGATATCACTTAATTCTATTTACATTCGTCCGAGTGGAATGAATATATGATTGACTGAATTCAATTATACACATTTACTCTAACCAAACATATGTAATCGTCTTATTTCGTTGTGAGTCTCAAACACATTAGATATTGATAATGGCTTATAACTAACGTATCACTTTTAACTGCATTAATCAATCTCTGTCATTTATTTTTAATTGATATTAAAGATTTTTCTTTGAATCGATTCTTAACGCATTTTCATCGAAAAGTTCTCTTGTCATGTTTAGCATGCAATTTTCAACTTATTTTCATGCAGCTTACATATTTGAAGATGTACCTGAAAGTACTTTATCCTAAATGAATTTTCAAGTTATTTCCTGCGTTACGCATGCATTATCTTCGGTTCTGACGGCATATATATATACAATACTCTATATCGTCATCTAATTCTGCCGCTTGATAAAGTTTTCTTACCTATTCACACTAGTCTATGAGTTTAATAACGATAGTCCTTCAACGTTGCTGGCTGTGATTTCTATCAAATTTACTTGAACATCTTTCTCGATAACAAGAGCTCAGCTTTGAACTGAGTAATCTTTGGCTACTTGATAAACGTCTACTAATGCATGATGATAGAAAGGAAGTTTCTTTCTATACAATTATATTTGCTCAAAATTATAATCTAATTGTAAAATGTATGAATGAAAGAAATGTATTCGATCATTTTTATACACGAAAGTTGTAGTTTTAACTAAGTAATTTTTGAACAGATAATCTATTTTTTGAAGAATTCCTATTTAATCTAGTTCTCTGTATTATTTGTAGCAATGAGATATAAAGAATAAATGTTTAGATAACTAAAACGAGCAGCTTTAAACATTTTTTATGTATCCAATAAATACGACAAGACTTATTGAAGTAAGTCAAAATTATAAACGCAAATGTGCACTTCTCGATGAATGCATGTAATAAACGAGGTGTTGAAATCCTGTATTTTTCGTAAAATTGAGATGGATTCCATTGATTTTTTCATTCTCAAATGATAATTCTTAATTATAGCAGTGATAAAGCTGAGGTTCTTGTATAAATATTTGAGTTCATTGTAGTGGCAATGTTCGATTGATCCATTGAAACTAAGTCATGTAGATGATCGCAGGACAGTGCCTGCTCTAGCTCATCCTCTTGATTACGCCACAAATATATAATATGTTTGGAATGCTGTAATTTTAGTATTGTTGTTGTTTTACAGTTTATTTGAACACAAAAATAAATATAGAAGTTATCACCTGTTGGATGAGCAATAATCAAGACGAATTTTTTTCATCTGAATTAAAGAATATTCTTTGATACCGCTATTCAAGCACATAAGAGCACTTTTTAACTTGTAAAAGCCCATTTTTATACCGATAATGTGTAACTGGATAGCAAAGTTTTGATATTCATCGCTTTAAGTTCCAAATAAACTATTTTATCGATCGAAAATATCGACCTATCTTTTTGGCTTTTATTAGCAGATACACTTCTTACTGGTGACATCTATATAAAATCCTGAATCAAAGAGTAAGCCCAAAATATTTTTAGATAATATATTCGAGAACTGAAAATGAGACACAATTATTATATGTCTCTTACTGGATTCAACACACTTTGTTGTCATTCTTCCAATAATTACATCTGTAAAAATTATTGACAATAGCAATTTTTGTCTCAAACATATTAGTCAACGGACAGAGCAGAAAAAGAGCACATCTTAAACAAATCAATATCAAATGCACTACCTATGGCGCCCTCTGAAATAGATAGAATGGGCCGAACTTTTAAAGTAACCTAATCGATAGAGAAAAATACGCTGAATCAAACCGTGATTTTATTTTTCCAAAAACAAATGGCACACACCTGGAAATAGCCGAAAAAGCGTAGCTCATCAGCTATAGAACATTCTGATTGGTTGATTCACGATTGGTCTACAGAAAACTTCGATTTTCTCGGAAACGGCTCTTAGGCCGAGAAATCTAATTACACTAGAAGGTCTAGCTCATTTTTAGGAACAAAATGACACCAAGAAAAACCTTCTAAAAATTGGCACAAATGGTGCACTACTAAGTGCATTACTGTGTTCGAAATTTGCTGTTGATTCGATGACTCATCCTGATTTGTCCACTGACTATATGTTGACAATAAGTTGCCACTAAAAGAAAGTGTCTCATTCGATTGTAATTGAAGTTTAGAATTTTTTTATACCTAAATTATAACACAAGATCTTTTTTGGTCGAAATCATAAACTAAGTGCATTATCTGCTAATAAAGTGTGAGTCATCTACGGTTTGACAACGTACGAAAAGAAAGGTACAGAGAAAATTATTGTAGTAACATTAGGGACTGACACACAGTCGAGGAAAATAACTCTAATTATAGCTAGAAAATACATATCTTCAATGAGAAAATATTCTTTTGGTTTTTTTTGTAAGTATTATCATCGTAACAAGAACATACATCTTATGTCTCTTTCATCTCTAGCGACGTTTAGGTAAAAAATGGCTAAAACAATCATAAATAATTCGATAGTGAGTTGCAAATAGAAACCAACTCGAGATGATTCATATTCAAATCAATTCAAAATGAAAGACAAATAAAATTAGAAAATTTTTACAACGAATTGATTCTTTTTTTGCTAGCTTTTCGAAAATTGTTGTTTATTTTGTACTAAGACATGAACGAATTTTTTCTCGACTAAATATCTCAGAGTATTTAACATTTTTCAAAACTTTCGATGGCATTCATAAAAAATTCTTAGTGTACTTTTCAAAAAATCATAAAACAATACTAATAATTCTTACACTATGTTCTAACAACTGGCCTATAGCTTGATATTTTTATCCATTAAACTAAGTAGTACGGGGCCATTGTAAAATTTATTTATTTGGAAAAATAATGATAAATAAATATGATTAGTTACTTCTAGAGACTTTTAATAACTCGTTGGAATCTTTTTCTACGCATGTAAATAGAAAAACAAAACGTAGGAGTTTACAGAAGTTATCACAAAAAAGAAGCAAAAGATACGTCTAAAAGATTTCTATTGAAATGTTACAAAGATTAAAAAAGATAACTACTGCTATGTTAGAGATTTAGTATATGACTTGTTTTATCATTTAAGATATCAATTTTAAAAATTCTTCTCTGTACTGCAAGTTCAAAACAAGAACCATCAAAACAAAGGTAACCGACTGTCGATGACTACTAGTTTCAGTTTATCTTTTCGTTACATTCATGTTTGAAAAGATTCGCTTTGTTGTGGAGTTCTTTCCATTTGCTATCTCATGCAACTGTGACAATATCCAGTTAGTAAGAAATCTAAAAGCCTGAAACCTATAGTATAAAGATCGAGCTTTGTAGTTCATTTTGCCTTCCTATCGACAATTATGTTAAACGATGATTTCAAATGAGTAAATATCAAACTTCCCAATTTTAGTAAAGAACTTAAACCTTTATTGGAAAAAATCAGCTAAAACAAAGAATAGATGTTGTTCAATATCAGTTGTTGCGAGTTATTAAATGAAAAGTGTTGAAAGAGTTCTTCTT